ACCACCACCACGACTCACGCACGAACGCACACTACTTGTGAGTCACGAGTGGCCTCTTGCCGGCAACCTAAACTCGTGCTTGTGCTGCTGCTGGTTGCGGGTGCCAGTGCTGATTCTGGAGCTGCTGGTGGTATGGCCTTAACTCGTGTCGAGTATTGGACTACTCTCGCGCTGCAAGCATCGGTGTCATTTTACGCTTGTGTGGAGGTCACTAATTGAAAGCGAACTTTCTTGGCATGTCATTGTATGTGCAAATTTCGCGGGAAATAGTGAAATTACAAAATGTGGAACTAGAAAATGTTTGCGCAAAGCGATTCATGGCAAACTGCGTTGGGGAGGAGGGGGTGGCGTGTCGGTGGTGGGGACTCGTCCATCCCCACCCCTCATGCATGGGGGAGGATCGCGCTCCCGGGGGGTGGGTGCGCCGGGGGGGTGGGCGTCTCTGTGCCGAGCCGACCTCCTCGCCAGAGCTGGGCCCCTGGTCTGATAGTGGTGCTTTCTGCCGTGTTGCAGACAGCTGAGTGACAACCAGGTGACGTGCGTGATGCAGGCCTCCTTCGACATGCTCACGAGCCTCAAGTCCCTGTAAGTCCGATGTTGTTTTTTTTTGTTTTTTTTTTTAAATTGTTTTTTGTCAGTGTGTGTTGTACCAAACCGTGCAATGATTAACTACGCATGCGCAGGGACCTGACGCGCAACCCCATGGCCTGCAACTGCCACCTGGGCTGGCTGGCCGGCTGGCTGTCCTCGCGGGGGCTGTCGGCGGGCTCCCCGACGTGCGCGTCGCCGCCGCGCCTCCGCGACGCCCCGGTCTACGAGATCCCCCGACACGAGTTCAAGTGCCTGAGCGACAGCGACGAACAGGGCTGCCTCGGCGAGGACTACTGCCCCCCGGAGTGCACCTGCACCGGCACCGTGGTCCGCTGCTCGCGGGCGGGGCTCGCCGACATCCCCCGCGGCATCCCCGCCGACACCACCGAGCTCTACCTCGACGTCAACAACATCACGGCCGTCAGGCCGGAGAGGCTGCACCACCTGCAGTCCCTCAACCGACTGTAAGTCAAGGGCTCTGCAAAATCGCCGTAACCGCGACTGACCGAAGCGACCGGCAGGCGGTCAGCTCTGTCCCTGCACTGATCACTGACCGCGTCTCGGTCAGCGCCGACCGTTTGCAAGGTCGGTGAAGGGCCAGAGCTGACCGCCTGCCGGTCGCCTCGGTCGGTCGGTTACGGCGATTTTGCAGAGCTCTGCTGTAAACCTCCACTCAACAACAAAATATCAAATAAAAAAATATATATTTCACATAATATACTTTTAAAATAATTTTTCTTTTCAAAAAGATAAATTCTTCTTTTTTTCTATAAAAACAAGAAATAGAGGACTGATCGAAAATCTAACGCTCATATTCTTGCCGATTTCAGGGACCTCAGCAACAACAAGATTAGCATTCTCTCCAACTTCACATTCGTCAACCTGACGCAGCTGTCGACGCTGTGAGTATTCAGCTGCTCAGCGGCGCTATAGTGCACAGGACTGTCACTCCATTTTTTTCCCCGGTCGATTTATCTCTAAATACACCGTGTTCTCTCTGCGTGCCGTTTTGCAGCATAATCAGCTACAACAAGCTGCAGTGCATCGAGCGCGACTCTCTCGCCGGACTCAAGTCGCTGCGAGTCATGTAAGTCCCGTTTTTACACTGTTTTATTTTTTACACGCGAACGAAACTGACGAGCGAGGGTAAATCAACGGACATGTTGTAATGTTGTTGTTCCTTTTTGCATCGCAGGTCGCTGCACGGAAACGACATCTCCATGATCGCCGACGGTACCTTCACCGACCTGCACGCCATAACTCACCTGTAAGAATGCCCTCCGCGCTCTACCCCCTCGTTGTCACACTTACTTGTACTCAAAGACCGCCTCCTGTCCGCACAGGGCGCTGGGCTCCAACCAGCTCTACTGCGACTGCAACCTGCGCTGGCTCGCCTCCTGGGTCAAGAGGGACTTCGTGGAGCCGGGCATCGCGTCGTGCACGGCCCCGGACACCATGAAGGACAAGCTGCTGCTCACCACGCCCGCCTCCGCCTTCCAGTGCGACGGATGTGAGTACAGAGATGACGACTTTACAACTCGGATGCCCCAAAAAAAGGGGGGGTGGACCGGGGCCGCCGCCTGCCAAGCGCAGGGTAGGCAAACCCGCTGCGCTCGCCTGCCGCCCGGCTGCCTGCTCCAGGGCGCCCCGAGCCCTTGGCGAGACCGACCCACCCTGATTCTGACCTTTGCGTCCTCAATGTTGTAAATATGTACCTTTCTTTCGTTCTTTCAACAAGTCTTAGTGTGTGAACACCCGGGCCCTGCATTCTCCTTGAATTGGGAAAGAAATTGTTACAAACCTATTTGTTAAACATGGTGATTATTATTAGCTGACACTTAAGAGTCTTACACAAAGAGTAACAAAGAAAAGTGCGCCTTTCTGAGGATTGACTCCTGATGGTTTCCACTCTGCGTGTCAGTAAATCAATACTTTAAAAAATTCAAACGCTGACTAAAGTAAAGTGAAGTTATATAGACATTTACTAAAGACATCGATAATAGGTAATGTGAAGCAGCAGTGCTTGAAATCGGTTGTGAATTTTTGGATAGCTTCCTATTCGTAACACATGTGGTCATCAAAATGCATCAGCAGATCGTCGGACTGGGCGAACCTTTCGAGACACAGGCAGCACTCGTACTTCTTCTCGGACGCCACCTCCTCCTGGGCGGGCCGCTGATTCTTGTACTCTCTCTGGTGGATCTTCTCGTGGATGCTCAGCTCGACGGGGCGCGCGAAGGACCTCTTGCACGAGGCGCACGGGTACTCCTTCTCGTCGGGGTGGTTCTCCAGGTGCGCCAGCAGCTCCTCGGACGTCGGGAAGGCGTCGAGGCACAGGAGGCATTCGAACGGCTTGTCGACGGCGGCCGTGTGCGCCTGCAGCAGGTGCTTCTTGAGCCGCTCGGCGTGCGAGTACCTCGTCAGGCACTTGGGGCACTCGAAGCGCTTCTGGCGCCCTGTGTGGATGAGCTCGTGGCGCCGCAGGTTGACCGGGCGCGAGAAGGCCTTCGCGCACACGCCGCACGCGAACGGCTTCTCGCCCGAGTGCACGCGCAGGTGCTTCTTTAGTGTGCTGTACTGCGTGAAGGTGCCGTGGCACTCCTTGCACTCGTACCGCTCGCCCGAGTGCGAGCGCGAGTGCTCGCGCAGCTCGTGGGCCTGCGAGTACCGCTTGGGGCACGCGCTGCACGCGAACGGCTTCTCGCGCGCGTGGGTGCGCCTGTGCTTCTCCAGGTTGCTGGCCGTCGAGAAGGGCCGGCCGCACGTCGGACACGGGAAGGGCTGCTCCCCGGTGTGCGCGCGGGCGTGCGTCTTGAAGGCCGTGAGCTTGGCGAACCGCCGCTGGCAGCTGGCGCACTCGTACGGCGCGTCCTCGCCGTCGCGCAGCCGCAGGTACTCGGCGTAGTGCCTCGTCATCGCAAAGATCTGCCCTGTAAAAAAAAATGAATCACGAAGGAATCTTCAGTGTTATGCCCTAAATCAGAAACACAATTAAACTGTAAAAAATCTTGTGATGTGTAGGGTAAGAGTAACGCTGAAAGAACAGTTTTACTGTACTGTAGTTTAGAAATGAGGACAACGACAATTTTTTACAACCATGGCTGTATACGTTTAGTCTTTGTTCACGGCGTGCCTGCGTGCTGCAAACCTCTTATCGGGTTAGAACTAGAACTTGCTTGGTTCAATAATAAAAGCACTAGCCTTTGTAAAGCTAAAAAACAAAAAAAAAATCGTGTCGCCAGAGATTGGTCAACAAAGGGTTAGCAAATCCTACACCTGTACACACTAACCCCTTTTGCATTTTGTTGTGCCTAAACATGCAGAATTATGCCATGATTTTATCCCCAACTTCATAACAATGTACGATTTGTACACACTTAGGGAGAAATTGGTCAGAACACAAACTGTAACATTTTAGTGAAATAAGGAATATTTTTGTAATCATTGTAAAAAAGTATAGTCTGCTGCTAACATTATCCGTCAATTAATTTTAATTGCTTTTTCTGGGTGACAGCCTATCAAGAGTAAAACAGTATATCTGTCTTTAATTTATTTTTATTTTAAATGTTTAAAAATTATTTAGGTGCTAGTTTTTATTTTTGATCTCTGTAACTTCACTGAAATGTTGAAGTTTGTGTTCTGACCGCTTTCTCCATGATCTAAGTAGTTGAGGAGGGGAAGGTGAAACAGCAGAAACTAATTCATGTTACTATCACGTAGGTTTTCACTGATATTACCTGATTTGGTTGATAATTTTGTAAATTAGCTTAAAAAAAATGCTTCCTGGAAGACAATATTTGGCTTGCTTTCCTTAGATCAAAATATCTGTTGTGTTCTCAGGAAGAATACACAAGTAAAAGATCCAGGTCTTTATTCACTAGTTGGGCGGCCCAGCACAGACTGGTTACAGACAGGCTCGGTTGGTTCGAGGTAGACTCCTAGATGGCGCTACAGTGCAGTTTGCTCCCGAACCCCTGGTGGGTATGCAACCCGTCTCTTCTAGGTGCATTGCAGACACAATAATACCATTCACAGTTTTTTGATATTTTTCAGTGTTTACCTTGAACTTGATTTAAAGAACCAGAAAGTAATTTTGTAACATGTGGAAGGTGTGTAAACTGAATTTTATCGTAATTTTTCAGAAAGCTCTGTAGCGAGATGTGTTAGAATGGGTCGAAGCGGATTAAAGTGAGGTTACTGAAGAAAAAAGAAAATTGGCCAAACTCAAGGGTGGTCGGGTACATACTCCCTTCGAGTCCGCTTGTAGGCGCTTTAGAATAATTGCATCTTGCTGAGATGTGCACAAAAATGCACCCCTCTTTGGACAAACTGGGACGAGGGCCGGGAACCCTCGTATGCAGCAAGTCTGTACGCGCGCATCGAACACTGGTAAAGCAAATGTAGAAAGTTGCACACCAAATGATGTGCAGTATGTTATAACCGGAACATTTTCACCCTGCACTGGTAAAGCAAATGTAGAAAGTTGCACACCAAATGATGTGCAGTATCAAGTGAGAAAAAACTAAAAACTTCCTGATGTCGAACTGAACTAGACGTCAATTGATGTGCAAACATTAGACGTTTTGTTTACGTGTTGATAACTAGTGTTCAATATTTGCACAGTACTAAGTGTTCAGCTCAGTTAAACACCATGTATAATGTGCAAAATCATCATTTACAAACTTAAAGGTGAAATATTTGCACACTTGTTTTACCAGTGAAATGACGCGTACATTGAGGATGTCAGAATTTCGTGAACCAACTATACCAGCATTGAGCATTGTCAGAGCTACGGGGTGGCGCGTTGTTTACGCCGGCTGTGTTGTTGCCTACACTGTACGGCATGCAGGCGTCGGACGTATTGCCTGTCGCAGCTCACCAGACCGGCGCCCTACAGCCCCCTTGCAAGTACGAGAGAAAGAGAGAGACAAAGAGCAGAGCTCTCCCGCCTACTTACCCTAATTTTGTAAACTCCCGTGATCGCCCAGGTTGACGCAGAGGCCGGTACTGTTGACACGGCTGGGCTGCTCTACTTCGGACTGCCCGCTCCGACTGCTGGCTCGCGACTGTATCGCCGTGGATGGGCTCGTCGTGCGAGCCGAAACGCACCACGCGTGCATTTTTTTTTATTGTTTTTGCATTCCGCTTGTCTTGCACTTTTGCGATTCTTCCGTTTCGTCCAGGCCGACCCCCGCGTCCCATAGCAGATCGCGCATCGCTGTCACAGCTTCAGTGCATTGGTGTTTAGAATAAGCTTAACATTTTAGACGCCGACGCCAACCTTATTCTTCCCTTAAATGAGAAATGGCTACGTCAAACAAGGTCCAATTCGTGCGTGTGCAACTAAGTGGCGACCTGCCAGTTTTGATGTCGTCTGATGTGCTGAACATAAAATAGCACATATTGCACCGCACAACTGCAGACAAAGAAGACCCACGGGGCTCGGCCACCGCTGCGATTTGTCGTTCGAGTCCTAAGGCATACTTACCGCGATATCCTGGCGTTCCGGCGTCCGCGCCCCCCCGCGCCGCCAAGCCCACAGCGCCTCGAAGGCAAAGGCGATCACGCTGGCGACCTGGCCCACCCCCAGCACGACGAAGGCCGGCTGCAGGTGCCACAGCGTCATGCACCTCGGCCCCGGCAGCGCCGCCAGCCCCTTGGCGTCGTCCTGGTACTCCCGCTCGTACTCGGCGCGACGCCACCGCGACAGCAGCCCCGCCGCCTCCACGCGCGCCTGCGCCGTGACGAGGGGGCGCTCCAACGGCGACCCCTTCGTGGTGACCGCGATGATGTTCAAGTGGAAGTAACTCAGTCGGATGAAGTGCAGTTTCTTATACGGGAGAATGTGGGGCCGCACATAGCTGTAGGTGCGTCGTGTGTAGAATGCGACGAGGGCGCAGTTGCGAGCGGTGGCGATCGTGTCGATGATCGTCTTCGTCTTGATGTCGGAGTCCTCTACAGTCTCAATTCGCGCGTTCAGGTTGTCGGTCAGCACATTGCCGTATGCCAGATTTCCGCGCGCTTTTAGGGGCAGCCCGCTGTCTTCGAGGTCTTGCAGGCTCTCAAGCTCGCGCCGGGGGACGGCCGAGGACAGCTTGCCCAGCAGCAGGCCCTGGTAGGCGGCGGTCAGCACGACGCAGGCGAGCAGCCAGGCGGCCAGCATGGGCCTGGGCGGGGCGGGTGGCGGCGCCGCCTGTCCCAGCATCGGGGCCAGCGCCTGCAGCACCGCGCCGCCGACGTCCTCCCGCCGGGCGCATGCAAAGACCACCACCGTGCACAAGGTCGCCAGCGCCGTGGCCAACCACAGCGCTGGAGAGAACTCGACCGTGACCGCGTCCAGGACGCCGACGTTAGCCCCGTAGCCCGCGGGCACGAACACGGCGAACTCGGCCAGCTCCATGTCTGGTATAAAGCTTATCTCCGCCAACTCGTACCGGGAAAAGAATAGCTCTTCCGCGAGGAAGGCGGCACAGACGCACTCCTTCAATGCTAGGGACACTGTATCATAGCTCCATATTGGCTGATACTTCACTCGTGTCTGCCATCCCATTCGCCCCTGATGGCTGCGACTGGCCAACTTAAGGGCGCTCTTTGCAAGCTCCATGAGCGATGATGGCTTTTTCAAGTCATGCGCCGTCTTCAAGTACACTGTTAGGTTCTGGCGCTTGCCTGTTTGACGATAACCGCGACAAAACTCGTGGAAGACGTTCACTCCGAGACGCCAGCGCTGCTCGAGGACGGACCAGTTGTCTATCTCGATCGCACTGGTCTTCGTGGTCCTGGTGGCGTCGTAAAAGGTGCGCGTCAGATTGTAGAGGGTGGTGCTGCCGTTTGGGTAGGTGAGAGCCAGGGCGCGCTGGAGTCCACCGAGTCCGCCTAGCCACGCGTTCTGCCGGCAGACGCGCTGCTCCGCCTCACCTTGGGGGGCCGACGCGGACACCGTAGTCCAGAAGAGGATCCGAATATCTGTGACTCTTCGGCTGAGCGGGTATGTTTTTAATGTGTAGAGCAGCTCGTCCACGTCATCTGCTGGGACAAAGTGTACAAGTCGCGTCGCCATCAGGCCGTGCCTGAGCCGGTTGAGGTGCAGTGTGTCCGAGTAGTTGTCTTGTTTCAACGCAGTGGAGCCGCTGCTCGGCCTCGGGGCCAGTCCCCGCGGGATGTCTGCGGACAGCTCTCGGAGGAAGGCGCCGGTCCAACGCGAACTGCCCAGTACGACGAGAGTGGCCTTCTGGGGCGCCATGAACGGCGTGAGCAGCGCTGCGGCGCTCCTGGCTTCGGGAGGCGCGGCCGAGTCCACGACGGGCAGGCCGGCCCGCACCCCGGGCGCCGCACAGCAGAGGAGGAGCACGACCAGGCGGGCCTCCATGGTGGCATCGAGTCCCAGTCGAAGTGGTGCCGGCGGCGCCCTTTCTTGTCCCAATCGAATCCAGTCTGACACGCGCATCTCGTCAGAGTTCCGGACGGTCCATAGAACAGAAATAGTCAACAGCAGGAAATAGTGCTTGCCGCAAGTCTTATCGCTCGATCAGTAGCCTGCGCTGTGCACCGTGAACGTCATAGACAGTGATGTGCGATTTGTATCGGAGCCTCAAAAGGCGGGCTAAATGTGGAATTCACCGAATTTCACAACTAGCGCTAGTGGCGCGAACACTTCCTGCATTGCATATGCCCGTCAATGTGTCGGAGCAGCTGCCACTCGGTGCTGATGGTGCTGATTGTGGGAAATCGCTGGAGAGACGAGTGATTGTGTTAACGGGATAGTGAGGTGCATTGTTTGACGTGCACTCACCTTATATTTCTTACTACGAGAATTGGCTACGTCCAACGAGACCAAATTTGTACGCACAGTCGCACAGTTGTGCTGGGCCCGGTGAAGAATGTGCGGAACATAATATTAACCGCAGCTTGACGTCTGCACACAAAGGGGTACCACGGAGCCCTGTGGCTCAAGTCCCAAGACACCTTTACTCGATTGTCCTCCCGGCCCAGCGAGCGCACCATGCACACATCGCCTCGAGGGCAAAGGCCACCACGCCCGCCATGTGGCCGGCGCCCAGCACGACAAAAGCCGGCTGCAGGTGCCACAACGTCATGGACTTCGGCCCCCGGAGCGACACCAGCCTCTTGGCGTCGTCCTGGTATTCCCGCTCGTACTCGGCGCGCCGCCAACGCCCAAGCAGACCCGCGGCCTCGACGCGCCCTTGCGCCGTGGCGAGGGGGCCCTCCAGCGGCGACCCCTTCGTGGTGACCGCGAGGATTTCGACTTGGGAGTAACTCAATCGAATGGCGTGCAGCTTTTTGGGCACCATGTAGGGCCGCATATAGCTGAGAGTGTGTCGGTTGTTGACAGTAACGAGGGCGCAGTTGCGAGCGGTGGCGATCGTGTCGATGACCGTCTTGATCTCTGTGTCCGGTACAAGCTCTGTTCGCGTGTTCAGGTTGTCGGTCAGCATATCGTTGTACGCCAAGTATCCCTTCGCTTTCACAGGCAGCCCGCTGTTCTCGAGGTCTTTCAGGCTCTCCAGCTCGCGCCGTGGTACAGCCGATGACAGCTTGCCCAGCAGCATGCCCTGGTAGGCGGCGGTCAGCACGACACAGGCGAGCAGCCAGGCGGCCAGCATGGGCCTGGGCGGGGCGGGTGGCGGCGGCGCCTGACCCAGCATCGGGGCCAG